AGTCTGATAGTGTTAAGAGGGCTATTTTTGGCAGAGGAACATGGTCACTCTTGGGTCATCCAATAGCTTGGAGGTGATCCTGTTTTGCATGAGCAAAGAATGGCAGAAGGAAGTAGAGAAAAGAGATTGCAGGAGAGGTGGGGGGGGGGACAGAAAGAGAGACAAGGGGGAGGGAGGAGTAAAGAATTTGCTGGAGAGGCAAGGCGGGGGGAAGAGTGTCCAGCTTTATTATTTTTCCATCACATTTGTATGAAAGTGCTCTAATAGTCCAAAGTATCAAAGTAGTTATTTAATAAGGTATTAGAGTAGTAGGAGTATTTCATTTCTACATAACAGAAGATAAGTGAATCAGATATGAGGATGTCAGTTGTGTGTGACAGTCATTTGTGCACATTCACAGCAGCTATACAGAACTTTGCTGCATTATGGGTGATAACACTTTTCTTGTCTGATAAGAGGAAATTGACATGAAGTTGCTCAGGATAATTTAGTGCATGTTACAATAGAGGGAAGATTACTCTTCTTCAGATATCACTGTAGAAGGAGCAGTGCAGCAGTGCATGGAGAATAGATTCAACTGAACCATCACCATTGGGACAGGTTTGGCTAATCATGGGAGGTTTATTAAATCTCCCACATAAAAACATTGAGGGTAGACTATTATATCTGGCTTTGAAAAATAACTTTTGTTGGGCTGGAGAGATGAATGTGTTGATGTCGTTGGCTGGTTTCCACCTAACATGGTTAAACCAAGTCTGAACAGAATTTGGGATGAATCCTATTTCATTCTGGACTTCAATGACTAAAAGCCCTTCTTTAATAACTCTCCTAGTGGAATCAAGAGAATACAGGGAGTCAAGGGAGAGGCCACATGATAGGAGTTTTTAACATATTGCTTGAGTCCAAGAGGACTCAAATTCATCTGAAAGAAGGGATGGAGTCAGCCCAGCTGGAAAATAGTAGCATTTAAGTCAGTAATTAAAGATTAACAACCATGCTCTAACCTCAATACTCATCTGACCAGATTCTAATCTCAAAAGTGCATTAGATATGTATTTTGGGGTTTGGAACACGGTCTAGAGATCTGAGTATGTAAGGCTGAGCAGGAATAAAGGAAGGAGACTATGGTAGATCAGGAGCAAAGGAATTACAAACCCAAACTTCCATGTATAGCAAGAGGCTGAATCTCTATGGATTCAAGTTGTTTTTTGGCTAGGCTTTTAGTCTGTAATTAGATGTGGACTACAGTAAAAAGATGGTAAAATACAATTTTAGAGCCAACGTGGTTTAGTGGTTAAGGCATTTGATTAAGATTTGAGAAACAAAGGTTTAAAACTAACAGCCGCCATGGTAGAGAGCAGCTTTAATTTGTAAAATCTACAGGATCAGTTTAATAAACCAAAACTTTTGTTTTACCATCAGGAAATGACAAGTTTTCCTTTAGTTTTTTCCCCACTAATATGGTTGCTTGAAAGGTGTTAGATGTTCAAAATGTTTAGGTTATGGGGTTTGTTCCCCTTATCTGAAATAAAATATATACAGCACTAGCTAGGAATGCCTTCCTTTCCTTAATATGTAATAGCCAGCAGATGGCAGCAGAACAAAATGCTTTGGCACTGTTTATGATCACTGAATGGAGTCATCCCCATAATTTAAATCTTGTACCCTTGGTTGTAATTTAGAAATATGAGTTATGTTATTTACCCCCAAAGACCTGTCACAGCCTGGGATCAGTTTTCTCTTATGACCTCTCCTATTAACAGATGATAAAAACAAAATGGGAATTTGATTACTATTATTATAATGTCATACTTAACAGACAAGAGCAATCCATTGTAATATTTAGTTCTTGGATAGGTAAATGTAGTACTTAGGATTGATACAGACGTTATTCTCAGGGTATGGCTGCTATGGCCAATTCGGTGTAGTGATGAAGGCACCAGGCTAGAAACCAGGAGACCGGGAGTTCTAGTTCTGCACAAAGCCAGCTGGGTGACCTTGGGCCAGTCACTCTCTCTCAGCCCTGAGAAGGAGGCAAGGGCAAACCACTTCTGAAAAACCTTGCCAAGGAAACTGCAAGGACTTGTCCAGGCCGTTGCCAGGAGTCAAAAACTGATTTGAAGGCGCACGCACACATGCAAGGCCAATTAGCTATGGTTATATGTGTTTTAAAATCCTGTTCTTCAGTAGGGCTGTCATTATCTGGACTGCATGAATCCCAATGGCACCTAGAGGGCAGCAAAGAAATACTGCAATTCTTAACACTTTTCTGCCTTCTTGTGACTATCTGGAATTTTCAGCACCTACACTAAAAAGGCCTTCCAGAGTAATTTACATAAATTCAGGAATAACCTTAAAACTTGAAACTCCCTGGCTTACCATTTAAAAAGCATAAGATAAAAAGGGAAGGTGAAAGATGAAGAGATCAAGCAGATCTATAATATAATTAGATTTATCTATTTGTCACATTTATATAGCTGCCCATATCACACAAAGTGACTCTGGGTGGCATAAAACAATTAAATAAGACAAACAATAAATTAAAAATGATCATTATAAAAAGATAAAAAGTGATTATTAAAATAAAAACATGATCAAAAGTTTTAAAATATACAAACCTCAAGGAAAAAGCAGAATATCAATCATAGTGGAGCCATCTAAGAATGTCTCCAGTTCCCAAAGACCCGCCCAAGCATGATGACACAACCAGGACTTGAGGGACTTCCTAAACAACAGCATGGAAGGAGCGAGCCTAACTTCAGGAGGAAGAATGTTCCACAAAGAGGGAGCCACGGCAGAGAAGGGCCGCCTCCTGGGATCCACCAAATGCAAGTCCCTGGCCAATGGAACAAACAGATACCTTCCCTGCCGGATCTAATGGAATAGGCTGATGTAATCGGGGAGAGGTGGTCCCTCAGATAGATAGATAGATAGATAGATAGATAGATAGATAGATAGATAGATAGATAG